GCAACCTACAGCGAGTTGTCCGGGAAGGGAGAGGTAGGGGTGCCTAGCCTTCTTGTGCGGATATAGGCAAGAAATAGGAAAGTGGCAGGGTTCTGGGTATATATACAGATGTAGGACCAAGGGTGATCTAGGGAATGTCACGTTTTATTTCCTAGTGCACGTCCTACACTGATATCAGAGTCATGACTGTTCCTGCCGTGTTATTGTGCGTGTGTAAAATCTTTCTAGTTGTGTAATTCAGTGACCTGAAGAAGGGCTTAGGCCCGAAACGTTGTCAATAAACTTTTGGAAGAAAAGAAGAGCTTCTCACTTCCATACATAAGAACAAGTCTCAATACAATGAAGCTCAGGGAACCATCTATATTACCTGAAAATTTACTTTATTGAAGTCATTGAGTGACCTTTAGTAGAGAAAAAAGCTAGAAAGAAACAAGAATGCTTCAAATGAAGAACTCTTTGCAGTCTCACTGAGAGTTACCACGCTTGCCGGACTTATGCCAGCATAGAGGTACATTGCAGCCTCCGCTTTTCGTGGGGCTCACAAATCGTTTATTGGCATCATCCAGTACTGAGTGCCATTCGAAACTAGGAAGTAAAAGGAAAGTGCCATGGGAGCCCAGTCTGTAGCGGAAAATACCCTTTGAAAACTCATGTGTGGGATTGCGATAATCCGATGATTTGTTACACCAGTGCCTTTGCATAATTTGTGAAGAGAGGCAGCGCTGAAACGCTTCCTACTTTGCGAAGTGGAATGCTGTCGATTCATGTGCCTCCTTTGAACAAGGTTTTTGGGGAAAGCGGAAGCACTTGTGAACCTAAGCGGTCAGTAATCTCCCCGACTTTGAATGCAAGGCAGATTTCGATAGTGGTCGGCGCACCTGCCAGAGGTCGCGTACTCCAAATTATTAGTAGTACAGCGCCGTCGTCATCAAATGTGTGGGGGGAAAAGGGGCGTTTCTGAGATTGTAGGCCGGGCTGCTTGGACAGGGAAGGATTTTTTTGAACCCGTCGACTGCGGAATGCGTCTCTGAAGTGCATGAGCTTCGAGGGAGTTTACTAAACGGCTCATCCATGGTTGATTTATCCAGTTCATTAAAAGCATCGTTTTTCTATAGTGTGGATTCTTCCAGGGGCGTTCCACTAGTCCCACCAAGAAGGAGGAATTGCGAAGAAAAGCTCGTCAAATGCTTGAAAATCCAGCTGCAGCTGCTTTTCCAACGGGAACGGTGATTTCTATAGTAAACTTGTACTTCACTTCGTTGTTAACTTCTCAGTCAGCTTACGACTTCTCATCGCATTTTGTTACCCTTTGCAGTCACAAGATGATGAAAAACGCAGGCAAGAAGCACGGCGACTCATTGAGGAGGCAGTAACGGACGGTGCAACATATCTTGTCGGATCCGGTAAGTGTTTTGTACCTATTTAACAACTACTTCTAATTGACCAATAAGCAGTGTGGTGGACTGATGTGTGCCTTTATCACCATCCTGAATGATTCTGCTTTTTTATTTCCTAATTTTTGTGGTTGTGGTTGTTATCTAGTTTTGTTGTTCGATTAGCGGGAGGCATCTACATCGTCGTCGAATCTGCAGCGATCGGCCTATCGTTCCCATACGTCAATTAATGGATCGAACTCGGACTTGAGGAAAATTGGTCAGGAGTTTTCGCTATCTAAAACTACTAATAGACATTTATTCGGTCCTGTTTGAAGGCACATTCTGTGATTACAATTCTTCGGCTTTGGGTCCAAATATGAATACGTAGTTGCATATTGTCTTCATAGTGAAGAGAAGGGTGGGCAAATCCCTTGAAATTGCGTTCAATTAGAACCCAATTATTAGACTAGTTTTGAAAAAATGAAAAGCTGTTGAGCGGGCGAGAGACCAGAGACAAAGAATGAAGGGAAAAGGAAGACGGGTGAGGAGCTAGGGTTCGTTTACAATCAGAAGAACGTGATGCCCTTGTTCTCATGGTCGTGCCGCGAAAGGGAACAATTCTTCAGATTAGGGACGAGCTAATAATAAAGCCAATCAGGTAATCGCGGAATGTGTCTTGAAGGTTGTAACGCTTTAGAAATGATATCTATGGTCCAGCATTGCTGTGCGCTCCGTAATCATTCACCTGGAGCGAATTCTGCGGTTCTTATGCTTCTATAGATCAAAAATTGCCCTTTAGCACTGGAAAATGTGCTTGGTTTGGTATCGCCCTTTCGGGCGCACGTCTCACCCATCACCTGAGGGGGGAGGTCTCAGTCTAGCAAATGCTGCCTGCCTGTATAATTAGCTTTGGCCCACCTATCCCAAATTTGACCCTGCCTCTCAAAATGATTTTTGCCAATTTACCAGACAGACAGTCAGATATATACATCGATGTGACACTTATAGTGTATCCCGCAATTAGTTCGAAGCTCAAAAGTTCAGTCGTTAAGCAACCGGTGGCGAACCACTGCTAATCCTGAACTTCTGTATCATACCTTCTGCAACTCCTATATCAGTCGCGCCTGCATGGAACTCCCCTTTCACGCATTCGTACAGGATCTAAATTGTTTATCGTTATGTACATTAGTGGTCGAATGATATTGTAATGTGGCTCTTTTTCATTTGAAGTTGCAGCAGTTTAGTCTTCTTTGTGATTGATAAAATTTATAATAATTTATCATTCACAAAGAAGACAAGACAATGAAGCTCAGGAACCCTTTTATATTACAGCAGTTTAGTGATTAGCGGTAGAGGCCACCAGTTCTTTGCTCGACCTGAGCGACTAAATTGCTTGAAGTATGAACACATCTGGAATGCTATGTCTATCTGTTTGTCTGCTTAGTGTTCAAAAATCCGGCAGGAATCAAGGGGTAGGGTCGTAGACGCACAAACTGAGCGACTGGTTCCTCGCATCTAGTGATTGATGGATTCCCCGTGATTGCAGAGCCTCGGTCGGCTGTCATTGCGATGAGATGTTTTGGTTTGTTCGCCTTGATACTTACATCCGGAGGTCAATGCTTTTGATGGCGGGTGTAGTCTAATTGGGGATTGATTTGGATCAAGCGGCGAGGAATCCCGAAGTATTTCCGAGTTATTTAGGCTTATCTCTAAATGGGTTTTTCTTGCCTAGTTTTATCCTTCTGGAAGCAAACCATGTCCGGAAGAATGAATCTGGGCCACATGAACTACTATGGGGCAGTATAGGGCGCATCATTAGGCCTTTCTTAGCCGCTCATGGCAAACTTTGGTTGTCCCGTCCGGACACATCATGGGGATATGTGAGATGCCGATTTCGTTACGCCTTTAGAAGAGAAGTTCTCGGTATTACACTCTCACATCCTACCACTACTATTCCCAACACATTCGTCTCCTACCCGAGTTTTCCAAAATTTTACGGTTGAGCGCGATAATCCCTTCGTGAAGTACTTTGAAAGGAAAATAGCCTACTTACATACAATGCAAATTAATTTGTTCTGTTTGTAATCAACTCACCACAATTGGTTAACTAATTGGTGGATGTTGTGACGTAATTCAGAGTTAGTGCGACCGGCCGTCTCGATTCACACATTCAAGAAACGCGATCCATCTCCGATTCTTCAACGAAAACAATGTTAGCATGCAGTTGTGTTGCTTCTTCAGTTTCGCTGACAACAATTATTTTTCTTTTTGTTGATTGTACTTTCCGACGTTCCTTGTTATTTGTCACTTTTTGATACATCTTGTCTTCAGATGATGCTGTCGTTCCCGGACAAGGGCGACCAATACAAATGGGAAATGATCGGCTGAAGGTAAGTGATATTCCGAATTATTACTTGATTTTATTTTCAATGCTTCTTTTTCTTCGGCTGCGCTTTTCTCGAAAAGGATGCCTTTCTGTTCGATATGCCATCTTTTCGCCTTATTTTTCGTTCCTTTTGATTTTGAATAATTCCATGCGAATTCGGTTTCGAGTTGAGCTCTGCTTTCTGTTGAAAAGAGGCAGGACCGTTGAAAAGAGGCAAGACAGCGTTAGAATGTGATTCGCGCAGGGCTATCAAATCACTTCGAAAACCAGGCCTGCGTCTCGCGCTGAGCCGTTCCACACCCCACCTCACCCCACCCAACTTCCCTTCTACCCCGGTTCCACGCTTTGAACCTCAAGCGGTGTTCGCAGTCTGCATACGACGAATCGGAGAAAGAATCGCTTTCGCGAAAAGGTTTTGATACGTATGGGCAGGCGGTTCAACGGACTGAGGGCAATAATTCGGCGCAGTCGCCAAAGGGGTCGAATAGGTATCGACTCAGAGAACCAGCGCTTCACCCGCACAAGCGCTAGCTCCTTCTGCGCAATTTGGTCGCTTGGGCGGGGTCAGCAGATCGGTACGTACCTAATTCGCGTTGGCGATGACTTCGCTAGCGTTACGCCACAGAGTCCTTAAAATTTCCGTATTTATTGCTTTTCGCCGCTTCTCCGATTCGACAGAGGGCAGTAAACAGTACTTTAGATGGGCTCAGCGAGCCGTCAGGCTTTTCAAGTTGCGCAACAGCAACATGAAAACTTTTGCGTGATTTTCAATTAAAACAAGATCGAAACCATTTTCTTGAATACACTGATTACCTATGCCCATCAAAAACTCCTTACCGACTCCTGCGTTTGAAGCACCAATACCCTTTAGCTTGATAACTTTTTACTAGACCAGATTATTGGGACACTTTGTAGGGAATCCTCCTTTTCTCGGACCGGTCTTTGCGACCCGGGTATAGGAGGACAGGAGAGGAGGTCAAAGGAAAGTGTAGCTATCGGTCTGACAAGCGGGAAGTGCACGTTCCCATATTGCTCTTTCTCCCAATTCGCGCATTCATCTGTTTTCCCAAATTCCTTACGAGTGAAGTCGATCAATCTCCATCCACTCCGTTGCCGCGTATTCTCCTACCCTTAGTCTCTGTTCTGCAAAGTCGCACTGTATGAACTCAACCTAAGGACCGGTTTTCCTGGCACAAGACGCAAAGAGTCGTCCGATTTTCTCATTTTATGTAAACATTGCGGATTTTGCACTATAATTTTCGGTAGCTGTGCTTCTACTTCATCATGAAGGAGATTCCGTTGGGAATGAATGTTCGGCACTACTCAAATATTACTACCCCAAGAAGTCAAAAAAAATTCTTGCTGAAACTTTGCCCACAGGGATAATTCGGTGGGTGTCCTGATCACGAATATAGCATTCGTTTTCGGCACCGGCGCTAAGCTGGTGCCATTTGGCGCCAGATTGGCGATGCCACTTTCGCCCCAAATTCGAAGTAAATTTTCATAGGAGGGTTACTTGATGTCCTGATCACGAATACCGCAGTAGTTTTCAGCTCTTTCGCCATTAGGCGCTGATTTGGCGCCACACCCTTTTATCGAAATCGATAAAAACCTGCATAATGGGCTTGTTTGATGCCCTGATCACGAATATGACATTATTTTTCCAGCGCCATTTACGCTCTTCAAAGGTTCTGAAAGAAGGAGTGATTCCCTTCAGGGCAGGCCAGGCTGCCTTAGTAGAGCGCAATGATCGTAGGCCTTCCATCAGCGCCAGCGCCAAAAATGAATGTGATATTTGTAATCAAGATGTCAAATAACCTCCGTATACAAGTTTTCAGCGGATTTAGTGATCTAGGGTATTTGGCGCCGGCGTCTGTGGCGCGGGCGTCAGGCAGTTTCGCGCGGAGCGGATGTGATATCCGTCTTCAGGAGTTCAAACTGCCCCTGGGGAAAAGTTCAGCGGATCGGTGATTTAGGGTTTTTGGCGCGGGCGCCAGGCAGTTTCAGGCCAAGTGGATGTGATATTCGTGTTCAGGAGGTCGAATTACCCCTAGAACCCAACTTTCAGCCAAATCTGCCCCCGTAGAAAAAAGTCGATCAAGATCCGGCCTGTTTTCGGAAAATTGGGGTAGTAATAGTTGAATAGTGCCGAATGTTCTTGTTTGGTTCTTTGTAAATGTTTCGTTGTTGTAATCTTTCTTCTGTTGCGACTGTAGCCTCGTGGTGGTGGTGTGGCTCCATCAGCGTTTGATCGAGTGAAGAGATTTGGAAGCATGCGTAGCCAGGAACTAAAGGAAGCCATGGCGCAGTTTGGACGACAGTATGGGGTAAGACAGCTCTCTACTAACGTTATCCTTCTTCTTTTCTGCCCTGACGCTTTTTTGTGTGTTAACTAACCTAGTTCTGTTATATTACTTTTTTTCGGTTAATCAACATTGCAGATAGTGTTGCTTGGCCATAAAAATGCGCAAAAGTTAGTGAAGAATAAAGTCAGGCTTCCCGGTTTTTGCATAATTTCTCTAGCGTGTGGTGAATATAGTGACTGTGGCAACCTGTCTCACTTTGTGCCCCTCCACCTTCCTACTGAAGTAGCACTGTTTCTGTTGGAATCCCTGCTAGATTGTTGAGTGCTTGTCAGTTTTTCCTTTTCACTTCACCCCTTTTCCTGCCGGAATTTTCTCAATGTTGAAAAAATGTGACCTCCGAGGTGACACAAAGACAAATCGCACATTAACCTCCGTAGGTCCTGGTCCTTTCCATGTGCGAAATCAGTGGATCCGCAGATGCAGTAGCATCCTTATTATCTCCTCTCAAAAGTGCGCGATAGCGGGGCTGATGGGTAATGATAGCCGGGTGCCGTCTCCCGACTCCTCCAGCGGTGCTGCACGGCTTGAAAGACGCTTTACGACATCGAAACACTACATGTCTGCGCCCTTTTCTTTTTCGAGTGTTCTCAACCTCTATGTGATCGCTGCGGGCTTCATTGACGCAAGTGTTGCACCTTGAGGATAGGGGCGGCTATGATGGCAGTGCCCGGGTTTTACTACCGCTCTTCCCCGTTTGTGTGCGCTTTGAGTGGAGAAGTTGACACGCTACTACTTCGGCGGGCTCACTACTTATGATAGGAGGAGGGTCAGCGTCAGTATGCGCCACGCTTCTTCATCCACTCAGAACCGTGGTGGCCTTTAGCATTGTGCTTATGAAAGATTGGCGAGGGCAAGCGTTATGTAGCCCACTGTTTTTATCAGCAAGCAAATCTGTTGTTGAGGACTGCCTAAAGGAGATGGTTCGAAAACCATTGTTACGAACTTTGATCCAGAGTCACGTGATGAGCGTGAGGTTTCCAACTGATCAGCACTGTTATCATTTTATACACCTGTTCATAGATCTTTCCAATGCATCTCCCTTCCTTTATATTAGGGTGTTTGGGAAGTTTTGAGATTTCTTCTTAACTTTTAAGGGAAATTACATTGTGTGGGAGTTAGAATGAAGTAGTTAAAGAGAATGCGGGGAAGGACCTCCCATTATAGATAATTTTCAAGCGTGCTTTATCCAGCATCAGTGACGGTGCCTCTTTCCTGATTTGACCAACCAGTCGGCTGCTGCCGGGCTCTCCTCTTCTTTTTAGCTCGGCTCGCCGAGCTGGCCTGGCTTCGCCAGGCACCTTCCCCTTGAGCGATTTAGAATGCGTCAAATGTGCCAAATGGTGGCAGTCATTTTTTATTAAACTCCAGAAAAATGAGTTGAAAAAGCTCAACATCAGTCATTATCTACCAACATCTGGTTACTTATGCTTACTAAAGACTTTCAACCGTGAGAAGGCTGCACCATATCATTAAAGACTGCACCTGCGATCAGAAATGGGTAAAGTTAGTGATTAGTAATTCGTCCAGATTAGTATGTATGAGTCCATAACAACCGGAAGAGGCATAACTGTAAGGGTCATGAGTGGCACTGAAAAGGAGAACTTCACATTGCTTGTACATGCCAAAGTTTGTGCCCCACTCCCAATTGTTGGGTACAATCCTTATTTCGCTTCAGTTGCGACAGCTAACCCCTAACACATCACAATATCACATAGCAGAAAGATTTACTGACTTTCTCGATTTTCCCGTTTCAAGCGCACTATATCCCCCCTCCCCTCTTGACACACCATTTCACGCATGTAGTACCAAACACTTTTTCGATGGCACGACCTTTTATGTTGCCATAAACGAAGGAGCGTCCACACACTGAAGCCTCTATACACTACCGCTTAATGCGCTTAAGGAAGTGATAAAAATGCGCGCAGACGGTACTTATCTGTTTTTATGCGATTGATAAGTTACCTGTCAACCCGTACATCAGTCCTCAGTTCGAAACTCATCCAAGCTTTGGAAGCGACGAACCAACTGAACAGCGACGCACGAATGTACTTCCCGACAATCACTTCCTGTCACTCACAAATAGGCTACGTCACACTCCTCCACAAAAACTTCTCTGAAATCAATGTCCTCACGTGCTATGTGGGACGCGCTATGAATTTCGTGACAGCACACACGAACACACACACATCAGACCACATACACACGACATACATAGCAGGATTATATGTAGTAGGATAAACTTAGTCGTGAGTGTGCCAGTACATTTCTCAGGTGGATATTCACTCATACCAAGAATGAAGAAAGCACAGCAGGCATTAGGACTGATATGCACAAATATTTCCCTTTCTTAAAGTACTTAATATATGACTCCGTGCATTTGCTTGCTATACTTCTTCGAAGTGTGACACTTTCTCAAAACTTTCTGGACAACCAATAGATGAGCCGTGAAAGGAGTGCTTTTTTGCTCGGCTTCTGTAGGGGGGGGGGGAGGACGGACAAAACGGTTACACCTTAGTATTTACACCTCGTCTACTCCTCGTTCGTTCGTTTTCCACCTCGTTTCTTTCTTTTTCGACTTGTTTTTCTAGCCAACTAACAATGACACAAAAGACCGAAATAGACTCATGGAATGATGTCAGAAACGCGCTAAGATACTGTTGGTGGTAATTTTGCATGTTTCTAGATCGAAGCAACTGCAAGTGGCTTACAAGCGTCGGTGAATGCTACTCCTACGAGAAAGGTCGTGTCGCAGTGGGAGGTGAGTGTGTACTGAAACTTTTTATGAAAACAGTCAAAACTTTTGCTAAGGTTTTTGGTAGCTAATCAAGCGATGATTCATTTTTTTTTCGTTGAAAATCGTGACTTGCTCAGATTGGTTCGCATATAAGATCTATTCTTTTCCTTATGTTCTATCCTAGTTAAGGATGGTCGTTGTTGGTGAATACGAGGCGTCATGATTATATGCCGTAATAAAGCCTATTTCAGTCAGCTTGGGAAAGTAGAATGGTCTGAGAAGTAGAAGACAGTAAGGGAACGTACGTCAAAAACAGTATCCGTGCTTTCACAGGGGCCCTAGGCATTGGTGGCTTTCGGGCTCTTTGTAATCATATGTTAGAATAATGTCCTTGAATCGCCGACTTAAAAGCGTAGGAGAGTGCACCATTATTCCGGGAGGGTGTTTAAGATTAGGAGTCTATAAGATTGAGCGCTGGGGTTTCAGGAAGCGTAGGGGAGTAGGGGTGTTGTAAATTCACAGTCTGGCACTTTCCTGCATTCCTATCCTTTCGAAAACGCTAGTGGTCGGCCCTGATAGGTTCTTCCATATGGCTTCGTCCCCGTCTATAGTACTAAGCGCAATTGCAATGGTAACACGTCGTAGCGCAGTCGATGCGCAACGTGAATATGCAAAAGTCTGAACACCTGCCCGCGGATCGGCGTCGACGAGGTGTCACTGCGGAGTCTGATTGCAGTCTTTTATGGTGCCAAAAAGGCCGAATTTCCATTGAAACCTATTTCTGCGTGAGCTAAGTTTGACCTGTAGGCTGTTCACTGGTGACTAACCAGCTAACAGACTAGAGTTCTGATTTCTGATTAATCCTCTTGATATCCTTAGACTTTCAAAATTGCTTTCTGGGACTTGTATGACACGCTATATTCTTGAAAACCTATTTTCTTAGCTTTGCACAAAACGTTACTTACTAGATACAACTTATTTGATTCATTTTATAGAAGGATGTCGACGATATCGAAGGCACTGCTCTGGAGCAGCAACGCATTCAGGAACGCCTCGGTGATGTTACTGCGCAAGCAAATGCTATCCAGGCAAAAATCCGAGAAACAGGTGAGATTGTGCGATTGTATCCATAGCTTTGAAAAGACTGTCTCGCTGACTGTTAGAATTTTTCTTCTTGTCTGAATATTTTTGAACACATATTGTATCATGAAATCTTTTTTTTGCAGTAACAAGTAGTTCGGTAGAGCAAACTTAATTGGAGCGATATATGAATTCACCAATGAAAAAGAATCTTTGGTTGCGGACGACAGAATATTATAATATCATCGAAAATATCAGGTATTTTTCATTTGATGCTGTCAACTTCTTCGTGCTGTAGATGCATTTTCTCTTTCAGGGAAACGAGTCGTCATATCGCTGATCTGAATGAACAACTTGATAACATGACAAAAAGTACCCCTGATGGTAAGCTTTGCTTCTTCCCCAACATTTTTCGAGAGAAGTTTGGCAATAGTGATCCTTTACTGCCATGCCGTTCGAAGTTTTCTAAAATTAGTGTTCTCAAATATGTTCCCATAGAGTTGAATGTAATACCTCCGCCCGGAGAACGCGGATTGTCTCATTCTTTTGGCCACAAATAGACTCCGGCCCTGCCACCACATTTCTCGTGCAACAAATGCGCACTCATACTCATCACCAGATTCGGCGAGACGAATTGTCCTCTTCTGGGGTCGCTTACTCTCCTTAGCACGGATTCAGCATTCCGTTTGGTGCCTCGTGCATGTGCCGGAACAAGCTTGTGGTACTGGGGCCTCTGCCGAGAGCGTTAGGCGTTTTCGTGCCCAATGGAAGTGACATTGGGTGGTCATGTACCAAATACCCTCACGGGCAAATGGTCAAATCTACCCACAGAAAATAACGAACTCGAATTTTAAAAATGGAGCGGTAAAAGTCAAAGGTGCTGAAATTATTTCTAAAGATATGTAGGTGGGATGTGGTATGATTTCGGAGTGACTGATTTGAGTGACTAATTTATTCTTGTGATATGGAATGACTTAGGGACTGACTGCATTGTAGATTATTTCAAAACACCGGAAGAAAAGGACCGAACTGATGCGTTGATGGAGTCGTACATGAGTGCAATACAAAAGAAAGATGATCTCATTCAAAAGCTGTTCGCTACTGAGGAACAACTGTACGTCATTTTGCTTTTGTTCTTTAACACATTCCGGACCGCCTTTGTGCGAGGATCTCCTTATCATCTCATCACTTTATGGATCTGTAACCAGTAATTTCATCTATTTCTTCCACTTTCCTATGAGATATGCGTACCATTAATCCGGAAAAAGTGTTTTGATAACATTGAAGCACGAAAAAGATGCCAAATAGGCAATATGAATCAACGCGACGAGAGAAATGTATAACACACCATGTGCGTCACGCGGTCCGGAATGTTTTAACCTAGTCGTATTGAATTTGAGGTAGGCACCCTTCACTATCCAAATCTTCCTAAATCAGGCCGGTTCTTCAGCGACTTTTCTTCGAGACAAATTTAGCAGTATGCCTAGCTCGACCCCCCCCCCCACGTACACGAATTCCACCCTCGGCACAAAACCGTCTGGCACCCACGTTACAGGTAGCGGCACCCAGGTGCCTCTTTTGACCCCGGACGGTGTAGAGTGGTCTTCAGGCGGTGTTCCATACCAAGCGAAGTGCTAAGGCAGTTTAAGGCAGGCGACACAATAAACCCCAAAAGGTGGACAATACGACTAACAGGACAGAGTTCGGCGCCTTTGAGCAGGCCCTGCGGCCCCTTTTCCAACGAGGTAACTCATTGTGCCCTGTCAAGCTGCAAATACTGCCCCCCCCCCCCTCCGCCGCCCAAAAATCCGACCGATGCTAATGGTCGTATCGCTTCACTTGCTAAGTACAATATAAAGTGGCACGATGCCAACGGGAAACTCGTCCAAAATTGCTCTCTGAGTCGTTCAGAACGAAGACTTTTTTTGCAGGTTTTTGACAGTTTCACTTCGCTTTTTCTTATTCCCTCTTTTTCTCATTCTCTTTATTTCTCTTTTTCCTATATGCCACTCCTGCCGTCTTTAGACCGAGTGCCAAATCACCGTGCCTCAAACCTTTAACTGTGTCTTAGGTGTTTGTCTTCAGATTAGAGGACGAACATCGCCTGAAATCGTTGACTCTCGAACGAGCAAGTAACTTCGTACGAGGAAACGACGAGCCGTTGACGGCTAGCAGAAGAATCATGACCTGGCTCAGAGGATAACTAATTGCTTTTTAACGTTAATCTCTAATGACACTTGTTGCTCATTTTTTTGGCAATTTTTCCGTTAGATTATCTTGCCCCTTTTCTCATTTTGCTGCAGGGCTTTGCGTACTAATTGTAGATGACGAAGCGGCGTCGCGTCCCCTCTGTTTATTCAGATGTGATTGCGTCAGAATAGATATTGTTCAATTGTTTTAGTGTATATCAAAGTCAGATAGGTGGTTGATTTACTCGGTTTTCTTCAAATTGCCCAAGTTACCAGTACGATTTGATCTGTTTTATATGGAAATTCTCTTCTTCAAATCGCATAGTTCATAGATTATCTTGCCTTTTTTTCTCTTACTAGTCAGTTCTTATTTGCTAAGTGAACTCGCGTGATTGTCGTAGTCAGAAATAGTGGACACACTGTTTACGTCATATAGATTTTCTATATAATCATCATTCTGTGTGTATATAGAGATTTTTCCGAAACGCGGTGCAAAAACTACAGGAATGTGCCCCTTTCTATGATTTTCGTCTGTTGATGAGCTTTTGTGAATAAATTTGCATAGGATTGAAAGCTTTTACATGGCTACATCGATTTTTCAACTTTTCTCAGCTGTTCGCCACCTCGTTATCGTTAGGGACCTCGTTCACTCGGTCGCAAGTTTTCCAACGTGCGGTTACCTAAGAGTGATGCACATCTGCCTTTCTTTTCTATGTAGGCTCTCTCTCATACTACTTTCAATTTTTTCCTTTGAAGTGATTTCTCTGGACTGGTATGGTTTGTTGTGTTTCTCGCTATTTCTTTGTACGAGGAAGAAGTGGTGCTGCTTGGCATGTGGTCAGGGTGCAAAAACCTATCAGCTACCGGCCTTTCCCCAAAATTCATCCCTCGGCCGGGAAGTCGCTGTCAGATTATTTGAAAAGGTAAAAACCATGAATTGTTCTTTTATGCCGTAGCCTTACAGCACTCACACGTTTAACTTGGTGAGCCGGTCAGCCGTAATCGTTAGATATCGACATGGAACCGCAGACTAACTGCTGTTCAACGTCGCAGTGCGCGTTACGAATGTTATCACGAGAATGCTTTCTGGAAAAAAAAATTGTAAAGCCTTCGGCCTTGCGGTTTCATGCCGATATCTAACGATTACGGCTGACCGAAGTTAAACGTCCATGGTGAGTTGCTGTAAGGCAACGTCCATAAAGCCGCTTAAAGACAATTCCCGCGATACAGCGTTCGGGTAATTGCGTGCATCAGTCAAAGCAGTGCGCCTATTTGTAACCCCCAATGGGGGAAAAAATTCGAAAAACATCCTCGGAATCACCCTGAACAACGAGACACTCCCTTAGCAGTGGGGGCGGGTCTGGGCGCGAGATGTGCCGGACGTGGGCTGACCTTGCAGCCGAACTTGCGCCCGACGTCTTTCGAAATAGGATACTTTAAAGGGACGGAAGCAGCTCGGGACCGGACGCCTCGTCCACCTACCGTGTCAGCGAGCCTAGCGAGCCTTGTGGAAATCGCTATAACTTCCTCATATCGCGTCATTAATGAACTTGATTGAAGTGGATATCATCTTCGTCAAGCGTAGGGGTTCCAAAAAGCACGAAGTCATTTTGAGGACCACTTGATCGCGGGGAGTGTCTTTTAAGCTGAGAGGGTAAAAGCGGCCCTGGTGGCGTAACGGATAGCGCACTCGCCCGGAAAGCGTGAGGTGCGGGTTCGACTCCCGCCTGGGGCACGACTTTTGCCCACAACTCAGCATTCTTGTGATAACATGAGTGAGCATTAGCCGGCTATTGCAAGCCATTGGTAGACCAAATCGTCCACAAAATGCACTTAGTTGATATCGTCAGGACAAAAGGAGTGAACTAAACCCGCCTACGGCGGTCTTTTCTGTCAGTAATGGTCGGTTAATGGTCGATTTAGGAAGCAAACAACCAGTCGTGAAAAAGTCGCGGATGGGTCCATGCTATGCCGCTTGACACTGTTCCCTCGTGTCATCGTTGTTCACACTGTTTATTTCTCCTGTGCCGCTTGAGGTTATTAGATCGGAATTAATTCAGTGATGCCAATTTTTCGGACGTAGGCATCTCTTCAAAAGACGGCTAAACCTGTTTCGAGGGTATTAGATGAACACTACTCACTGAGCGCGTGATCAATCCTATACGTTCCGATGACGTGTTCCGGACTCAGAGTCTAGCACGTATCCAGATTAACTCTACAATTCCCAAAGTTCAAAATAAACTTTTGCAGCTGAAAACTTTGGCTATTGAATAATCTCTAAACTTCATCTTGTAACCCCGCGCATGTTTCAGTTTTTGATATAGTTCAGTCTATGAAGTTATGCCTTACGAGATTTTAGGTGCAGTATTCCAATGGTCTGACTCGACGGTCTTTTTCAATGGCTTCGAGATTTAGAGATTTTTACTACCTCGCCAAGCGCCTAATCTACCGCAGCACTTCCGAAGGCGTGGTTCTATCCCAATCGGGAACCACAAGAATGCTGAGTTATGGGCAAGTCGTGCCCCAGGCGGGAGTCGAACCCGCACCTCACGCTTTCCGGGCGAGTGCGCTATCCGTTACGCGTAACCGATAGCGCACTCGCCCGGAAAGCCGACAAAGCAAGCTTGTGGATTTCAGTCAGTAAGTACAACACAGGACAGATCGGCAGATCATACTTGAGCCGATTGATTGTGGTGTTGGGGATGCCTGCCACCTTCGCAACACTACACCAAGTCCTGTTAAGTTTACGATATTGTTTGTTGTACTCTTTTTCCGATGATCTGCCATATAAGGTCCTCATCTTGGAGGATGCACTCTCGTGATTGCCTTATCGAGTTCTTGCGGTAAAACCACAAATTCCCACCTTTGTCACTAACAGACAAACCTATTCTGCCAACCTTCACGTGTTTCTTTGAAACATAGCATTTGTGATGAGATGAGGTTGAGAACGGTTCAGCTGTTACGCATACTTGCCACCTGTTTTCAGCACTATTCTGAAAACAGGAGACAAATATGCGGAACTTAGTGTCTACAGTATTGTTCGGTTCTTGTGGTTTATAAATTGGCTGGATAAGGCAGCGCGGGAAACTTTTTCGAGTTGTCCTCCATGCACCAACCGCTGTTCAACATTAGCTCTATATCGGAGGCGATCGTGAAGTGTTTGCAGATTACCCACGATCTTGCGCGAGACACTGGGAGTCATGGACTGCGTGAGAGCAAAACTTGGACCCATTTCCAGCAACTGAAGCGCATCGTAGGAGAGAGTGATGTTGCCTAAAACGGTGACCCGCGTTTTTGTTGGTTGCTCCACATTACTAGTGCCCTCATATTGGTCATACTGTTTAAGTTACCCGATGAGACCGCTCGCGAAATGTCGTTGTTGCTCTACTGATCTATTGGACTTTCCTTGTAGTCTGGCCTCAGCCCTAGAGCGAACAGAATCACAAATGCTTTTCCTACTCACCCACGATTCTCTTCCAAAGGCGCTGCACGAACCGTTCACAATACAACTCTTCGTGAATACACTTCTTTAAGCGCGCATATAACACTAGCTCGTCTTCAGTGCCGCTTTGAGAAGTTGTTGTTCGTTGGTCGTATCTTCTGAGAGATCCTCGCACATCTCACCTAGCCGCTTGTTTTTGATGATGTTTGGCGTAAACGTTGGCGTCCAGATTGGGGAT